AGGAGGACCTAGTTCGTTGTTTTCTCTTCAAAATATAGAACGGAGACAAAGAAAACCAGTTGAAAACCTTCAGACTCTTCAAATGACTTCGCTCTGGATACATGAAACGCTTGCAACTTTCAATTAATAAACTGTCCTACAGATAGTGCGGCCACAATTGCAACGCTTAATTAATCCTCGTATACTTCCAGCAAAGAGAATCGTGAGCAGAGAACCTCTTTCCTAAAATGAATCTAGAACGACAGCGCATCCTGAAGAGTCACAGAGCTTCAAAAATATTCACTGTTACGGAGAGATATCAATTTTACTATCAAATAAAAATGTGAATTCTGTCATCCAGGAAATCGATGCTTTATGAGAATTTCTTACGAAACACGTGATCTGTTTCAAGGATAGCAAGATTGATATCATAAATATTTTTACTGCAAACTTTTCAACCGAGTAGAGTGGTATCTTTCAAAATCATTGTTTTCTGAAGCAACATATAAGAGAAACAATATCAATTTTCCGAACATTTTTAACCGGATAAAAAATACACAAATCATTTTTAGAGATAGAATAGAGATAAGTAATTTTTGGAAATAAGAATTTATTAATTTTTTATATGGATTTATCGCCCTTTGATTTATCTTTATACAAAGTTAGTAAAATACTCCCTGAACACAGCAATAAGTACTTAACGATCATTAACCCTTAACTACCTACAGCGGGACCCTAAAATACCCCCTGTGGTCAGGTAACAGACGACACTTAGCGCCTCAGTAGTCTTCAATTAACTCGAACCTCATAATTTGCTAATTACATGTGTTGATAATGGTTTTCGTTTGAAAGTTAAAAAAAGAATCTCAAAGTGCTACCTACACCAGAAAGTTATAAAAGGTTTCTTTTCCAGGTATTTAAATAGTGTTAGCATTTACACTTAGCAATTGGAAACTAAAAGTGAGCAATCTCATTAATTAAATAATCTGCTAATGAAATTATCACAACTATAATAAAATAGTAATTTTTACTAATCAGTTCCTCAAATTTACATTTTAAAAACCACAGTATACAAAAAAATATGCAAATTATACAGTAGATATAAAAAAAAAATTCCTCACAATGCATAAAATATGCAAAATATGTGACTTATCTAGAGAAAGATAAAATATATTTGCATAACATCCACAGTCTACTTTTACAATTAATCGTCTGAAACGAATCCACGTTTCATGAAACACAGGAACGCACGATATCAAATACAATGATCATGAAACTACAATAAAATTGTTCTAGGATCACCAACAGGTCGACTAGTGGACGACTGCTCACAATTAAGTTCAAGGACAAATTCCATCAGCGAGAAGTTACTTCAGCCTCTGAGAAAACGTGTGCACACGGTCGCTGTATACACGACCCTCGGCGGCTGAGTTACGAGGGGGATGAAAAGTAGGACGAGCATCGTAAAAGAAGTGCAGGCCAAGTTGCATTCCACCTGGTATGTGGCAGCATTAAAATTTACTTTCCCAGTTTCCTATATTTATTGGAGCTGTTCAGCTATCCCTAGATAGGGTCAGAGCAGACGTGTACAACGTTTCGAGGATTTACTACAATGCAGGTCAAAAGTTTCAGACCATGTTGCGTTATACACGCCAACTATAGTAAACCCTGAGATATTTCATTTTTGTTCATGCTGACATGAGCTTCCTTTTTATTAACTATGATATACGGATAGCCTGGATCATCAAAAACCTGGGGCAAACCATAGCTACTGATAATAAATATTGTTTTTCATTTATTCCAAAGATTTTGGTAGAGGGTCTGAGTAGTATTTAGAGTGGTGGAAACCCTTAAGATTGGAAGGGAAACGCCAGAAATTCAGTTAATTCGGTTAGGCTTCGGATGCATTCGGCTCATATCGACTGAACATCCTTATGGAGTTACCCCATTTATCACTACTCGCCCTCTTACTGTTAGCCCCCCTTAGTGCTCCATCTAAATACGTCTATGGGGTGTACTGGCTATCGGGAATTCAGGAAAATTCCCGGTGGACCGATAGAGATTTGGAGCCTGATTAATTAAAATTAGGATCCATATTCTACAAGAGGATCCTCATGTCACTAATCTCAAAGTAAAAATTTAAGTCCTGGTCCGTCTCTCGTTTAATCCACCCATATAATGTCTACCTAACTTACAGCAATAATTATAATTCTTCAATTGCTATAATTCTGCAACACCTCCCTGTGATTTTTAACGTTTTCTACGCCCTATTACGAAAAAGAAGAGAACAAGTGCAACTCGACGCGTTCGCCTACAATTACGGCTGGATGCCCTTTAACGAGAGCTTCGAAACGCGATGCTCGTTGCAGAATTTTCTAACAAGCAAGATCTCGGCGTGTCCCATCGAACTGGGGATGAAGTAATCGTGGAAAGAACGAGATCCTTGGGCACAATGTGAATTGTGTTACCAGGCGTACCGTATTTAAATCGTAACAAAAACTTCTCCACAGAGGTGTGCAGTTTGACTCGTATTTTATTACGAGGTCGATTCATGCTGGGTGATTTTTATTATTCTCTAGGGTGACACGGCTAACCGAGTTCGAACTTTAAATAAATAGTTGGGTAGGTATTGTACTTGGATTCCGTGACGCGTAGAAAAAGAATTTAATAGAATGTAAACAGAAATGTTTGCCATTGTTCCAATGGATTGTTATTGTTTTGAAGAGTGTCATTATTTCTTTTCCATTGCAAGGAACATTTTCCAACCCTCGCACGGCGGACCATGGAGAGAGCCCCAATTTTAATCTCGATTGACCCAATTGGATCTCAATTGGATCTCGATTGACCCAAACTCCGCTGTGCAAGGGTTAATACAAAGATAAGATATTTGAAATTAGGAGAGAATTATATATGTTTCAAAAAAATATTAAAACAAACCCTGATAAAAAAATATATAAATTGCAATAATCTAAAAAAAATTATTGAAAATAATAATTCAATATTTTTAACTACAACTGATAATAAGAAAAACACAAAAAATTTCTTGTTTACCTTCAGTGAATAAATTTCATTTCTAATTACTCAAACTTCACGTCTAAATATGTAACTTATAAAATGATATTTGCACGAAAAATTCAATTGAAAATCAATTTAAACAAACAAAAATCCCATATTTTGTTAATATGTAAAATTCCTCCCCCAAGTTATCGATCCCATTTTTACTTCTTATATTTTTAATTTAATATCATATAAACCAGTGACTGTTATTAAATCATCGACAGAATTTAATAATAGAGCCTTATTTCTTGAATACAAGTCATCATAATAAAAGAAGTGCTATGTTTATACAAAAAGGGTGGGTCGTACTGTTGCACGTAATTCATGAATGAAAAACTTGGAATAAAAGCGTCGTGAACGACAGACGGAACAATTTCCTTCCTCGCATTGAACTGGTCATTTAGTTTTGCATTTTTACTTACCCATTTACTCGTTCTGAGTCAACATTTTATACGTCATCGTACACGCGGTGCATGCTTACGCGTGCGCGCGCGCGTGACCATCCCTACATCCGACGTATGGTACGCAGCCGAACCTAAAACGCATACACGCATACAAAATACACACCCACATGCACACAGCGACGTATCATCGCCTATCGGAGCTTTATACTCTCGTCATCGAGCTGTATCATATACATTTCTTACCCTTTCTCCTTATATTCACTCTCCAACATTTTGACACTTTCTCCTTCTACGTAAGTACTCATTCGCTCCCGTCCATACACACCAATGTAACGAGCACAGCTGTCTCGTTCTTTTTCACGGTTTCGTTACTCACTTGCCGATAATCTCGCAGAGCTCGTAAACCTCGTCGAAGAGAACCTCGTCGTCCGCCATAGTGGCGACGAGGAGGAGGTCGAAGAAGTCGACCGAGCGAGGGGTCTAAACGCGCCAAAAGGCGCGTTAAAGCTATGCGAATTCGTAATAATTCGTTAAGGTGTGCAATCTTTTTCCTCTCGCCTCTCGCAGCCTGGGTGGACGTCGGTGCTGTTGTGTTTCGTGTCGTGCCGTGCGGAATACGCGGCGGCGTGAACGCAGCCACGTATCGTGGATTCACGGCCGTTCGCTTCTCCCACCCTCTTCGCTGGTTGTCTCTCTCTATCTCGCAGCAGTGACGGATACGTTCTCCTTTACGCACACGTTACGCACAAACACACATCTATATGTAGCACACAATCGCAGATAATACACCCGTGTAGCACGGCCGACCGTGGTCGCACTGGCACTCGATCAGTAGACACCAGTCCGTAACCGTAGAACGGAGTTATGTTGGTAAACTGTACGGTAGAATTTCGCACGATGGCAACGGAGCCGAATACACAATCGACACCGCCTTTAAACTTTCGCTTGCTCACGCCGGCTAAGTCAGCTTATACGACTGACGGTAATACGTAGTATGGACGTCAACACGCTCCTGTCCTGCCTTCTTCAGCACAAAGAAAACCGGATCCGGTCAAATCGGTTACCACAACGAAACAGTCAACCTTTACGATTAACAGAGACCGACCAACGAAAAGCGGCCAGACAGACACTGCACACACTTTCCTCGTCTGTCAAAGGCTGGAGGAGTAGACTCACTCGCTCCGAAGCAAGACTGGTTGCATAAAACGCGGCGAGCGACTGCGCCGACTAACATCCTCCCCACCGGCCCGACGGTGTACCAGCACAGCAATGGTGGGGCGGGCGTGGCGCCGCTTCGCGTGCAACCTTTGATGCTTTAACGCGCCGTATCTTTTGCTTCTTTTCTTTGGCCCCAATATTCCCTAAGAGTAGATGTTATACGTCTAATGGACATACAAGGGATGTTCATCAGTCTTCGATCATTTGAATAGGTAAGATTAGGATGTATAGAGTTGCTCTGATGATAACTGATCCAACTTATCGATGGGACTCGAAAGATATATATAAAGCAATACTGTAACACCGACGAGGTAAGTACTACTAGCCTTTAGGGTTTCGTTTTCCATTTTCATGCCATATCCTACCATATCAATTGTGACAGGATTTACATCACAGCGCTTTTAATGATTAGAATTAAAATCAAAGTTACACATAACATTTGCCATTTGAGATAAGAGGCAGTAATTACTTTTTATTTTGAGAGCCTGGCAGGATCAGGTTAGTTCTAAATGAAGGATTAATCTTTCTTTTATTTTGAGTAAAGCAAAGAAGCTGAGAAAATGGCAGATTTTGCATGCTGGAAAAGGGAGCATAATTTTTATTATTTTAAATATGACAATCCTTCAAAAACTTCTTCTAATTCGCTCTTTTGACCAAATACAATCAACACTATAATTGCTTTATTACGTCCCCATCTTTGTTGAACTGCATGACTTCCAATTGCAATAAACTTTAGTTCAGAATGCAGATACTTCAAGTGCTTGTGATCGTATCCTTTCAGGACTATTATATTCCGCCTATTTTTACATAATAAATTTAATACAATAATCAGTTAATTATTTTTCAATTATCAACAAAATCGAACGTGAATCAATGTATCAATGTATACATTACCCTTCCTTTGTCCAGCTATCAATATACTGATATCTTACTTGATCACTGTCTAATTGACTATAAAGCAACACCAAACCATTTGCTATCTAATATTAATAAAGAATATGTACAGCCTGATTTCATATGGTTTAAGTTTAAGTCTGCTTACAGTTGCTGCTGTTGTTGCTTGGTCCATTCGTAGATCAGTATTAACTATCGCATAAAATATATATTGTGTCGGACCAGGTTCACGTAATTTGGCAGCATGAAAATGTTTCAATTTGTGGCAAATTTTATTTATTCGTCTTTTATTTATGTGACCACTTCTATAACGAGAATGTGCAGGATATAAACCATCGTTATACTGCTATACTAAGTTAAAATAAATGGTTAAAATATAAACCTGTAAGATAGTTGCGATAATTGAACATTATTTTTCTTTGCTTTTCTTTTATGACATGTTCGAATACTTTTTTCTTCTTTCATTATAAAATACGTCCTTAGACTTTAGAAGTATAGTTAATAATCGCTGATTTGTACATTTCAATGCTAATTACTGTCATGGTTTTGAATAGGAAATTGGTATCTGGAACTGTAATCAATTTAAACAATTTTAAATAGCATTCAACTAGAAAAATAGTTCGATGCTTAAAAATAATCCCCCTAAAAATATATTTTATCCTGTTACATATTGTTAAAAATAAGCAGTAGAATACGCATTTATCAAATCTGGATAATGTTTCAGTCGATCCGAACGAAATGCAGAAAACTGTTACATCATCTGTCGCAAACGTTTCTTTCTCTCAAATTTATTTCATTCTGATTACTCATGGATTCAACACATGTTATTATTAATTTATCTGCGACATTTACATACGTCGTATTATGGTTATTAAACAGAGGCTAGTGGAAAATAATTTATCTGGTGTTATCGACTTATATGAAATTTCGTTCAAAATAGAAATATCGCATTCTCGCAAACAGAACGTATCGATATATCGAATACCCGGCAGGTTCACGTTAGCAGTGTAGTGTTTGGAATGTTTAGGTTAGAGTAGCTATTTTCATAATTAAAAATAATCACGGTAATTCTGAATGTCATGTGATTAGCGCGAGATTTTTCGATTTTTATAGTGATTAATATTCGAACGCGCGTTTGTTGTATCGGATCAGATTTTCCGCGGTAAAAACAGTGCATGCTGAGAAGGGAAGAGTGTCAAAATAATCTACCAACTGTTCTGTCAGATGTTTTTTATACGACTTTGATACGAAAAGACAAAACTACGGTGAAATTAAGATACTATCTTCAAGATATTTCAAACATTAAAAATGGCAGCGAGTGAACCCGGTGTATCATCAACTCCTAGAGAAGATAACAATTGGAGACGAAATTTGATATTACAGCTCCAAGAAAGAAATAGGAAGCAAACATATTGTTTTGCAGATCTCATCAGTTTGCGTAAGATTTCTTTCTTTATATTCATCAATTTAATTCAAACTATTATTAATTCTATTGAATTATACTAATGTATACTGTTTTTTTATTTACAGACAACAGACTCTTTGAAAATGCAAACACATTGCGTACAGAAAATATTCAGCTAACTATAGCAAATGAAACACTCCGTCGAGAGGCAGTTAGTGGAACTCCTGGATTAGGTGTAAATACTGATCTGGAAGCTCGTCTTTTAAAACAAGCAGAAGAGTTAGCTACATTACATAAAAGAAAAGGAGAAAATACGCAACAAATAGTAGATCTTAATAATAAATTACAAGAAATGATGAAGGAGTTTCAAGCAAAGGAAGCCAGGTGAATATTGCTATTTGATTTTTATGATTTAACATGTGTATAAAAATTTGTATGAGTAATTATTATACATTAACCAATTATATTTGCAGCCTTTCTGAAAGTATGGAGCTTAATGCCAACTTACGTTTAGAAATAAGTAAATGCCTTAGTAGAGAAAGGGAGTTGGAAAGTATTAACCAGATGCTGAAAGATGAACATCAAGCTCTACAACTCGCTTTTGCATCTTTAGAAGAAAAGCTTAGGAAAGCACAGGTATGTTATGGACTATTATTAAACTAACTGTGTAATTAATATACAGATAGTTTATTGTTTTACATAAATAATGTATATTTCTGAAAATTAATAAATTATGAATATTTGTAGGAAGAAAACCGCCAGTTAGTGGAACGCTTAATCAAGTACAAAACAAGAGATGCAGAAAAAGTAAATGAAGAAAATGACAACTTTTTGAAGTAAGTACAATATTTAATTTCATTATGGGCCTCATAGTATATTAACGCCCTTTTTTCTTTAATTAAGGTCTTGCTTATTATCAAGCAAATTATATTTTTCAATAAAATCGTAGAATAGTTACGTATAATATTTTAGTTTCTGTAGAAAATGCTGTGGGCATGATAAATAATATATGCATGTGGTTAGTACTGTTAGATAAAATTGATGAATCACTGACCATTTTACGAATTTCTTATATTCGTTTGAGTGGTTTGCGTTACGTATATTATTTCGTGTTTCTATCGTACCAATAACAAACAGTTTCGGTCTTTTTGTTTCTGACTATTATCGCTTGTCTTATGATTATTCATATCAGGATCATATTTAAGTGGTATACAAAATTTAAAATATCATTACTTCATTATGCCAATATCTGTCGGCTAAAAACTCTCATGACTTAAAAATTAAATTTATTACACAATTATCGCGTAATAAATAGAATAACAATGCCAAGAACGCATGTTTATCAGACATGTATAATTAAATACGCCAAATTTATCATTACTAATGACAGTTTTTCGAGTAATGATTTTAACGAAACATTATTTAAAGTAAGAGTATAAAGCAGAAGAGTATATCTTCCAATTTACGAAAGATCGTTTTCAGTAAAGCATGTTGTTTATGCATGTTATATGATATTAAGAGAAACTTGATATTATAAAAATGGAATTGCATCACATTTTACATAAGTCCGTGGGAATGCAAATATAGAAGTGTTAAAGATGTATTAGATAATTTCTAATTCATTATCGGTTTTTTATTACGAAATATTATAGCTTCCTTTACACTCTTTGATGCAACAGGTGATATCTGAACGATTTTAATTTTGTGCAATGGTTCCCCTTTTTGTATTAGATATTCATTAATTTCATATTTCATTACATATTTAATACCATTACAAATGAGTTACTTTATTTGTATGATAATCACTTTCAATCGTACCCATTAATCGTTACAATATCACATTCGACGATATTAAGAACAATAACGTTTCTACGACATATTCGTAAATCATTTATTAATTGTAAAATGTTAAGCTTCTCGCACAGACACACGGGATTCTGTTACAACAGTAATCTCCACATTCGCACTTCACACTGCTTGACATTTTCGTTTCAGTGAGAGTTTTTCCAGTCCGACAGCCTTTTTGATGAATACCATATCAAAGTTTGGGTAAGTCTGAGCAAGTGACGTGATAGAAATTACGCTTAAGTGCTCTATTGCAGCTTTGGGTCGTTTGTTTAAGGAACGTGATCCTACAAACCGTTCGCACATATTCACACGAAAAACCTATCGTTTGTGCTTGATTTTCATAAACATTGTATTGTTCTTATTTTGTATAACGAAATTAATATGAAATAGGATGTAGGAATATATAATCGTTGCGAAAAAATGGAAAACAACGTACATATGCATATGTATGACTAATAAACACGTGCACAACTGGACAAGTGTTTCCCTACTAAATGTAACGGTTCAAAGAGTTTAATGATTGTCAATTACTTGAATAAATATAACTAATATTAATATTAACCCTTTGGTTACGGTAGAGTTGGACGTAGACTAAGATTCCAATTATTAAGGATAGTTATAATTAATTTTCGAAAACAAAAATTAATTATCCCAGAATTTTCCATATTAAGGTGGTTTCAAATTTTTGATCGGCAGTGTACTTTTCCATAAAATAAAATAATAGAACAACAAAAGTACTAGAATGCGAGATAAAAAATAAGTAAATCTACTACAGTGATATTTTGTCTTAAATAAATTATTCATAGGGCCATGATAATGGCACAGTACCTAAAGGGTTAAAAATACAATAAATGATAAACGTTTGAAGTAACAACTAACCAGGAACCGTATCGTTAATGTCAAAATATAACAATAGCAAAGCACTGGCGTTACTAATTAATTTTACATCGCATGTAGCATAACAACAGGATGATCAAAGACAAGGGCACTTTACCACGTTGTTTTGGGTATTACAAACGCAGCATTAATTTCGTTCGAATTGATCATTTCTTTCAGGCTGCATCAAATCTTCCTTTGAAGCTTTTGTTCTTTTTTTGTTCCATTCTTTCTTGCAGAAAGAGACAAGCAAAGATGCAAAAGGAATTGGAGGACGCTGCTCGTGACACACGACCGGTCAGTCCTGACAGATCGAATCTAAAAGAAGGAATTGCTGGTCTTCCTACTGCGGTACCGACCAAAGTGTCGGTCACATTTGTACGTTGACAACAATTTAATTTATGAGATACCTAATCATCATGCCATTATGTAAATTTTAGTACAATTTGTTTATTGACACGTTGTAACCAGAAATTGCATGTCTTGTATGATGAGATAAGGGACTGTCGAATCTTGATGCTTGATCTTTGGAAAACTTGTATCACGAACGACTTACATTAGTATTTATTCTCAGCTTATAAGTGTCCAATGATCCAAACGGTATTCAACAAATTTAGGCTAAAATAAAGCCTTCAGATGCGACAAAGTTGGACACTTAGTTTCAGTATTACATAAATACTTTTCTACATGAAATTTCATTTGTAGAATAACGAATGATCATTGATTCTCTGCACGATGCTAATGGTTACAGTTATTTGATGGCATATATTTTATGATATTGGGGATGTTTCAGCTTTAGATTGATTTGCATTATTATCGCACCAACGTCTATACGTAATGATTAGAGGTGTGCGAGAACCCAAAAATATCGGGTCGGGTCGAGTCGAGTTCTCGCACACCTGTACCTTCAAAATCCTATTCAATTCGACCCAAGTGTCGAGTACTCGAAATTTTCAGGTTCTCGCACACCTCTAGTAATAATAGTTTTCGTTTAATCGTTTCATACGTATTATTCCCTTCGAGTGTTATAAGTGAATCGAGAATAAGTGAACTATTTTTATAACATTCTGTGGAATATGGATGAAAATGTTTCTAAACTATAGAGTTTGATATGGTACTTGTTTCTGTTTTAAAGTAGAAGGAAGGAAAGATATATCTATATAGAAATGGTATACAGTAATTTTTCGACGATTTAAAAAAAAGGATCTTGTTAGTGTAATTTTGTTAACTAGTTATATAAGGACACTTTTGGTTTATAAGTTAGCACCTAGTGTCTATTATAGATCATTCGATGGGATACACGTACAATTATTTATAAAATTCAGATTTTTCAGACGTGCATGTTACATTATTAAAATGTTAATATTTTATTGTGCGATTCTATGTTTTAGTGATATTTACAATGTTACGTTCTGATCGAAATATTGTTTAAGGAAAGTATATTATATGTAGCATAGTACTGAAATATTTAAGTTAAGTATCTTTAATTCTGTGTTTGACAAATGTAGTTACTTTATAATACGTAAAAAATGTTAGAAATGTAGTTTGGAATTTTATATTATTTTAAACGGGAACGGCGATGACAAAAGTATTATTTAAAACGGGAATAATAATTATGTGAAAATTGAAATAATTTTTTTTGTTGACACACCATGCTCCTATGTGCTCTATTTTTTCTTAATTCTATCAATAATACTGTTCATTAATGTTCACGCGTATTTATTTCAATACAATCACATTAAAAAAAAAAAAACGTTCTGTAAATAATGTGTTCCGTCTTAGTGAGTATAGGTGTTAGATGTTAATGTGTTTCAAAGAGAGAAATATTCGTCTCATTAAAACACTTTGTGTAGTATACATTACCATAATTACGCTTAACATTTTATGTACACTTTTTATGCATGAAAACTGCAAATATCGTAAATTTATTGCAATATTTAAAAGCTTCATTTACATTGTAATGAGGTTGTCACTATCTATCTATATTCTTTCACATTCTCTGGTCATTTAATTGTTAACAATCGATGATGCTCGATAGTATATGGTGTAAAGGGTAATATTTTCGCTAATTTAAAAGTAGGCAACGTAGTGAGTAGTATTTGATCATTTATTCATAATAGTAGTATTAGCTAATTTTTAATAAAATTAGAAATTTTGAAAGCTTCTAGATTTGAAAAGACATTAGTCAGCTTCTATCTAAATTATGACATTTTTTCATTGAAATTGATATGTACTTTTCGCTTCTATAAGAAGTACAATTATGAATTTTAATACATTTGTTACGTTAACTGTTGACTCATGCATGCACATTTTTCAAAATTTATACGTCAAGTGTTTCGTAACCCTTGCAGAATGCTCACGACGGAGAAGTTTATGCTGTAAAATGGTCTCCTGTTGAGAGGATCCTCGCGACCGGAGGGGCTGACAGAAAGGTGAAGCTTTGGAGTATCACAAAAGGTAATTAAAAAAAAAAAAAAAAAAGTTTTGACCTGAAATTAAGTACATAAATGAATAAAAGTGTTAAAATTGTTGAGAAATTTGTTTAAAATTAATGGTGTCACTTTGTAACACTATAAATTCTGTTTCCAGCCAATATTTATCGAGAATATCATTTCCCGCGTTCAACGAGATAATGTAGGCTAATCAATTGATATGAAAGTCACTTTAAAATTTCATTAAAACTTACTGCAACGAAGTAATTAAAACTTTGTTACCGTCTTTTGTTCGCGAATACATGCTAGAGAACTTTTCGTTTCGTGCTAAATGAAAGAATAACGGATAGTTTAAATATTAGTCGCCAGCAATAATTTACTAAGTCGACGGTAAATTATACAATTATTTGCTAATAGACTAATTTACGAGCATATAAAGTTTCAATTCGTAACGTGTCATTAATTTTTATTACCAAGTTATGAATGATTTTTCGCTCAGTGGAGTGTATTAATTAACATAGTAATTACCATTCAAGTACAATATTCAAACGTACAATAATATTTCAAACAAAGTTCACTGTAATATATTGTTCTTTTGAAAAGTTGATGTTTATTTATTAAGTGGGTTTCGAAAAATGTTATAGAGCTTGCAAAATTATAAGAATTCCTATTTTTTTTATTATGATAATTTCATAGTCTTTATGATATACATCAGTTTTGAGACACCTTGTACACTGGTACCGAACGTGTTAACGAATCAACAGGTTACTCGATGCAATCAGGGATAGCTCGTATAGTCGAACGTAGAGACGTCTATTAAAACCCTGCCTGAGCTAGAAACATTTTCCTCTCCATACTGAAACGACCATACGCACTATAACGTATTTCGAATGTAATCCCTTTGCCGCGTTGCAAATTGGATGAAACATCCGTCCTTATTGTGGGTTATATCCGCTTATCCCACCCTTTCACGGCTCTTCTTCACCCATTCTCGACACTTCGGTGTATTGTTTCCATCCCCCTTTCCAAACTGCTCGTGATTTCCTTTATCCCCTTCGCCACTCTATTCGACAATGTCGATTAAATTAATTTTGGTAATGCTGTAGGTGAAATATTTGTAATTTTAATACCTAATTTTTCATTTTATTATTCTTTATTGTATCATACATTAATTCGAAATTTATTAATTGGTAATTTTGCAGTTTTAATTATAAAGGTTTTCAAATATAATTCTATGAATTCTATGAATTCAGATTCCATGAAATGTCATTTGAAATAATTGCCAAAGAGCATATATTATTGAAATTTTTGTTAAGATAAAAATAGAATAAAATTATAAATAAAATGAGACAGACGATAAAGTCTAGATTTATATCTGTCGTTATTGAAGTTTTTATTAAAATAAAAATGGAAGTTGTAAATGAAACCATCAGACAAATGATGAAGTGATAATTTGAGAGGATTGTTTCGATTACAAATTGACGTTTATTGTTATTTTATTTTTCAGGTACTTCGGAGAGTAAAGGAATTCTTGTTGGCAGCAACGCAGGAGTAATGTCTGTTGATTTCGATTCAACGGGGACGCTGATCCTTGGAGCATCTAATGATTATGCCAGCCGGGTGTGGACTGTGAGTGATCTTCGACTAAAGGTAAGTGGAAAATTTGCATGTAATTTATCATTCGAGAACAGGCTTGGATGAATCTGTTAATTGGGCAATTATCGAGGTACTTTGCTCGTATCTGCATAGGAAATTTTCTTTAACCCTTTCGCTATTGAAGGAGAACCATAGCCGTCCTACGCAGTGTTCATATCATATTTCAAAGTAGAGACAGCATGTAGATAAAGTAAAATTAAAAACAAAAAACACTTGCAATGAAAAATATTTTATTGCAAATATAGTTTTATAAAGAAAATTATTTTATTTATATTTATGTTAATTTTCTTCTGTATATTTCATTTACATTTATTTTAATTTCAGATTATTGTATATTTCATTTACAATTATTTTATTTAAATTAAATTAGATAATTTAATAAGCAAATATATTAAACCTTTTGTCACGGTCGTAGCGAAAGGGTTAAAAATTGCGATGGTATAAAATATTTTTTAGTTTCGCATAATATCATTTATATTTATAAAAATAAATTGCACGAATGTTCAAATAGTAGACTATAGAAAATGAAACGATGCTCCATTTAAAATAGTCTTTTTAACGTATAACGGTGTTCGAACTCTTTGCGATAATAATACGGGATTATGCGCGGTGCGCTCTATTACTGAAACTTGCATATTAATGCGTTGGTAATTGTACCGTAAAATTGCGTGAGTTATTACAAAGTGACGAGGTTTCATTAAAACAACATCACCGCTTTTATTCGCTGTTATAAATACGTCACTCTACACCCAACAGTGAAGGGTGTTAAAAGAACTGCGTTTAAGAAAGGTGTCATAATGATACATAATTAACTTTCTTTTCTTCCTGAAAGCATTATATGATTACTTTATCAGTGATGTCATCGAAGAAGTTTAATGATTAATCTATTTAACTACAATTTGAAAGAATTATAAATTGGAATATTTTTTATTCCATTATCTGCTACGTTTCCTAATAAGGTCGTAAAGCAAAATATGGTTCTGAAAAGTCATAATCATTGAAGAATTTTTATGTCTGTTTTACCGTGCTATTCGATTCATCCCAATTCCATAACCTTTTGCCGAAGAATAATACTCTCTTCTTTCGTCGATGATGTCAATATTCCCTCATCTAAAGTTTGTCCCAGTTCTTCTGCTCTTCGCCAATTCTTGATGTTGGCCACGGAACGAAAAGTTTCCTGGTTGTCTTTCTCGTGGTCCTATCTTCTTTTTCCTCTTTGTGTTTCTTTCTGGAAATCTCGTTGAAAGCGGAAAAGTCATCTGGGAAATGATTTTTTTCTCAATTTGCTACGCTGAAGTTTTTTGTAAGAAGTTGGAAAGACTAGGGCGGACGAGTACTGTATTTTATTATATTATATTGTATTTTCCATCCGGAAGATGGTGCATTTTTTATCACACCTTTTTAAAAATTAAATTTAAGGCGCCGCGTCGTTGGGTGCTCGCCCACCCTTTCCCTCCCCTAAGTCGCTATTGAGCATATACAAAAGCTAGATAGCCGGATAGCGCGAGTTTACGGTCTGGCACGGCCATGACATACCCGATACCGCGTTTCTAAGTCGCATTGTGAGTTTCAGGTTGCTTGCTATGCGGTAATATCGCCGTTTATAGCTAGCCGGTTGCCGATAGAATACAATGTGTAATATATCCGTGTAAAAGAGTACAGTAGGAGATGTTTCTGCCCTGCGTTGCTCCTCTAACCGATGGAAGCGTACCATGCACGCGGGTGTACAAATATTTCATCCTCTCCAGGATCTTCCTCTCGTTCCTCCGGTTTTTTCCGTCTTCTCTCGTTGAATTTTTCTGTGTTCTGTTTACAAGCAAGGGCGCGTCGGGAATCCACTCAGCAGGCGGCAGTTTCATTCCGAAGATTGGCGGCCAATGGCGCGTAAAGTTGCGAGAAAACACGCGAACTGCGAGGTACAGCCTCCTCTTCGGCTATTCACGATGAAAGGTGCGAGAACTGACCTGACGTCTGATGTTTATTCCCCGGTGTGCCTCGAACCATCCACGCAACGTTTCTCAGACGTTATTCTTGGAACAGGAACCCTTGATCAATTTCTTCGGCTTGTGGACCAGTTTCTTGTGGGACTCCCTCTTGCTGGCTCGTGTCAACCCGTACGTCTCTCGTTCCGTGAATTATAGTTCCTTTTATTCAGCAAGGACAGCAAGAAAATGAAACGTAACGTTTCATTCCTCTCGGTTATTCAGGCCGATTCTACCTTCGTAGCAAAAAACCTCGGGCAATTATGGAATTTCAATATTTTCGTTAGCTGAACGAATCGTTTCTGGGTAGATTTCATTCCGGAAGCTCGAATTCATGAATAAAGTTCTTACCTTGTTGAAGTAGAAGCAAGTAGAAGGGAAAATGGATGATCGTTTATCTATTTATTTCCTTTCGGATGGTTTCTATCCATTATTGTCATTGATCTTCTAAATTTTATATTTTTCTTTAGATTCTTGTTTGTCACCCTTCTAGTCGGAGAAACGATGCGTTAAACGAATATCAATGGTGTTGGAGGGTACCTGGCTGGACCGATAATGGACTCAATTTCGCGGCACTAGGACGTCGGGTCGTTTGGATTTCTCACGTCTTCGACGTAGTATCGATTCTCTGGTGAAGCCCTCACAGTGATTTCCTGGTCGTTCACCATTGTGAAATCGTCATACCTTTTTCTGTCGCTTCGATCTCCCAATAGACGTACAGGCTATTTCGTTTTCCTTTCATGCACTGTTCTTTGTTCGCGATCGTAAGGTACTATAAGATAACCGTAATGTGAGTCTGATATTTTTCTAAATCATAAACAATTCTTGGGTGAATTGAACGCCTATTTCTTCAGGAAAAAATATCCACAAATGTATTTTAAAATTTGTATAATTCCTTTTACATAATTAAATCCTTGAGATACGAAGTGTTTAAGACTACCAAAAAATTAATATCTGTTCAACGAAAATAATTAAAAATACGGGCTGAAAAGAGTTGGCTGTTTCGACTAAGACTGAAACGTTAATTCCGGAAATACGAAGGTGCTTTCAGGCGTCATCCAGTAGAGTAATTTCAGGGTAACACGGTGGGCAGTGGGCAGCAAGGTGGTAGTCCCCTCTGTTCAAAGGCATTACTTTCGTGCCGAGGCCAGTAATTACCTCGCGAAATTACCGCATTTACATCCCTAATAGGATATAGGTAGGAATGTCAGGTACACTGGCCGAGAACATCAGGGGGAAAGAAAAAGAAACGAGGAATTAATCTAAACACTGGCTTTACAGCGAGTCCTTGCGCGAATAGAATCTAACGTTTCGTATGAACCGCGTTTTTATTTCTGTCAGCTATCATTTTTTTATTCAATTTAAATTGGATTGCATGTATTAAATTTAATAAACACGACTCGAAGATTGTTTGTGGTTGGTTGTGTTTATTTCGTTCTAATAATAAGAATAATTTCTAGTTCATTTGCAATATTTATTATAAGCTTCAATTGATCACAGAATATTTTTTCATCAATATTTGTCGAGAATTTGCAAAGATCAGACTGTGTAATTCCTTGACCTGTTATAAGGGATATGCAAACCATATTGCCTTATTATACCTTGTGCACTCTACATACATGTATGCATAGCATCAAGTGGGTAGTTGGAATGGAAAGAGTATTAGCATTCTTACCTATCGCTAATTCTTTCGTTCTCCATGCTAGTGCATTCCTACTGTTCCCTTTTCTAAGGGTAGTAGCGTGTTTAACTCTTGAACAGCGGAATCTGGGTCAATCGTGACCCAAACTTATGAAATGTATACAAGGGTAGTTAATTGTATAATACTTAAACGAAAGGGTTTAGTATATTGAAGGTATAATTTGATACGTCCAATTTTTTCATATTACCAGTCAATCTTTTTTTAATTTTACTTTGTGCTTTTTTTATTAGCAGTGAATTTCAGATACGCGACACGTCGTCAAATATTTGCGTCGATCACGTATCGTAAGAGATTGATATTTTTTCGTTACTAATCTGTCTGTGTACTCTATTTTCCTATATTTTATTAGTCGTATTTGGAAACTTTAGCGAATAGCGCGCGTGCAAACAGAAAATTGAAGCAATAGTTGATCCATCAAATTTGCTGATTTTTTTTTCATATGCAAACATAGATCCGTAAACACATATGTCCTTTTGAATTTCGGCTTTTCCATTTTATTTTATAAAGTAAAGAAGAGATCTGAAACGTTTTTCTCTACCAACGAAACCCTCTTTCATTTCGTTTTGTATTTATACAAAAAATGTATACTGTTCTAGATTTTCCAATTACAAGTATTGAAGTTCTGTTAATTTTATACAATATTTATTTATACAAAAATTTGAGTAGCAATATTTTAATTTTTCCTTATAGTTATTAAACATTAGATTTCTATTTTGAGTCAATTTCACCCAAATGGTGCTCGAGAGTGAATTATACAAATCCGTATAAATTTCAATCTTGTGTTTGAAATTTGCATCCCAAAATAGTGGTTGCTTTCGGAGAAACAGTAGAAGCAACGCATTTGGAAAGTTTTGCAGATTCCCTATTCCCGAAATGGTGTAAATGTCCTGGCTGTTGGCCAGGGACACGCTTAACGAAATCAGCACGTTTGTACCGAACAACACACGCGGGACAATGAACAACCTGTAGATATTTGGCCAGCTAATTGTGTTTCGAATGGGAGCATGGTGTCACGCTTGGATTTACGGGACGGTGTTAGGTTTCTCGAAGAATCTTGCAGGAACTTGTGGTCGGATACAGTTTTAACAGCTTTTTCAACCTGGGAAAAATATACGACCCTTATGTGTATCTGTGTCCATTGTTCTGTATACAGGATGTCTCAAAAAAGATATTCCTCTAGAAGATAAAAAATCTTCAAGTTTCGTAGTGTACATTATTTTTGAGACATCCTGTATACTTCCACGAGTACGTGAAAAGAAGGGTGACGGTTCTTTTTACGGTTGCTACTCCTTTTTTCTTCGTTTCCTCTC